AGGGGTCTTGGGTCAGAGTGGGTATTTATTTTCCCGGTTAGTAATTTACCATACCCACCCCACCCCACCCAACTCCACATATAGAAAACAATACGACATAGGGCTTATCTTATTTATAATATAGGCCACACACGTGTGTTCGAAACTAAATACTGTATAAGCATTTTCATCATGGTTTTATTTATTACAAACATATTCTTTCACCATCAATACATATTAAGGCCCTTCTTTTAGGTTAATTTGTCCATAAAATTGCAATAAAGAAACCTTAAAATAATCTATTTTTTGCGTTATTTTTCAAACCTAAGAGAAGATGTAGAATTACGTTACCAATCATTTCGCATCGTGCGAGACGGTCCCGCATTTCAAAGTGGTTTTGGTTGAATTTGCAGAAACGCTTGCGTGATCATAAATGTGTCACGCATTTAGCGCTGGTCTATGCGTGATAACAAATTACCATGAATTAAAAATTAGAAGAAATTGGTTTGATTGAAAAGCGCTTTATAAATTGAAATACTTAATTTACTGACGCGTTACTAACAATTAATCAGTATGCCTCATTTTTTTGTTTGTTTTAAGTAATAAAATGTTTTTGTACATAGTTCAGGAGCTCAAAATAAACATAATGTACATTAAAATATGTTTGTCTATTTACCTTACCCGGCATTGTCAACAAACACTCCATGAAATCGTTTTAAAACAGCTTAAAAATGCTCAGATCGTCGGCAGGGTCCCTCGCCCCTGGACCCTGTAGAGCCACAAATGTAAAAATCTACCACAAATGTAAAAATAACCACAATTGTCAAACATTTTACCCGCAAATGTCAAAATAACCGCAAATGTCATAACATGTCAACCACAAATGTAAAAATAACCACAATTGTAAAAAAAAATTGCCCACAAATGTAAAAATCTGTTTAATCACAAATGTAGTAACATTTCACCTACAAATGTAAAAATTTCCATTTTTACCTCAAATGTCATAACATGTCAACTGCAAATGTAAAAATTTTCGTAAGCACTAAATCCTTAAAATATTCAAATACCCTAATTAACTGCTAAGTAGAGCAGCTAAAGCATCAAGTAGAGCAACTAAGGCCCAAGCTGTGCATTTAATTACCAAAGCATGAAACTTGGCACAAAATATCTTTGATATGTGTAGATTAAAACAAAATTTGTTTGCCAAGAGGTTACTGACGCCTACTTATGGCCGCCAATTCGAGTTATTAAGTCCCTCTGAAATATACACATCT